GGCTACGTCACCCGTGCGCGGTGGGGAGGGGGATCGTGAGGCCATGGCGGCTGTGGGGCTCAGCAAGGCGGGGGTCCCGCTCTCCCCTCAGGTGGGCCGCTGGTGCCGGCCCAATGCCCAGTGTGTAGGCAGGTGCTCAAGCGCTGCTGAGGGGAAAGGGCGGCTCACGGTACGTGATCCACAGGATGGATTGTGTTGGGAAGGACGTTAAAACTCATCTCCACTTCCTGCCATGGGCAGGGACACCTTCCATTGACAGGGCTGCTCAGAGTATTTAGTAGCATTTTTCTTGCAGGTATTGAGAATCTGCCGTGTGAGCTGCAGAGGAATTTCCAGCTGATGCGGGAGCTGGATCAGAGAACAGAAGGTAGGTGCAGGTATTTCGGCAAGCAAAGCCAAGAGAACTTGGCATGAGGGATGGGGAAAGCCCAGTGGAGGCTGGGCTTTAGAGGACGTGTCTCTCCTCTACTGCTGCTCCTTCTCTCATTCTGAGTGCTCTTCAGTGTTTATTTCTTTCCTGTGAGGATACAGCTCACATCGCAGGGCTTGATCTTGTTTCCAGTTTAAATTCATAGCTCTGTGATCATTGTACTCAGTGGCCACTTGTGTGGCCTTCCTTCCACGTATTTTCCATATCTAACAAGTTCTAGATTCCTGTGGGCCTTGCAGGACAATTTTTTTCCTTCCTTTTTGAAGTATTTGTTGGTGTCTGGCTGCACATTAGTTAATTTCATTTTGAACCATCAAAATAGTAAGTGTGCAACAAATAAAATGTTCTGCATGTGGGAAGAGAGGCTGAAACTTGTGAATCTATGGGTTTGGTTTCTGATCTTAACTGTGAATTAACTGTAAGTTAACTTCTGAATTAGCTGTAGAACGCTTGAGAAAGCAGAATCACACCACAAGTGTCAAAGAGTGAACACCTTTAACTTAACTGGTTTTGTTTTTTAAAACGGAAAATGCATTAAGGAATTGAGGGGAGAGTAAGAGCTGTCAGGAAGGGTCTCTTTGATTGATTGGCATTTAAGGAAAGAAAGTGAGGAACACCCATGGAACTGCTGGCTCTAAGAGAGGCTGCTGGGAGTTTCTTCTCTGCCTGAGACCTGGCCTATAGCTGGCCAGTTCTGAGAATTGACAGTACTTTTGACCACTGAAAAGTGAGATTACCTTAGTGAATATTACCTTACCTTTTAAACCTAACGTCAGGAGTTTCTGGCTCTCCTTGTTTCCAGCCTTGAAAGGTAACAGAGCTTTAGTGCAGCTGCTCATCCTTCCCTCCCACTCCCAGCCTGGAGGGAGGGGGCTGAGCTGGACTCCAGTGGCCCCCAGGTGGGGAATGGAGGTTCAGGGGCTCAGCCCCAGGCTGGGCCAGGCTGTGCTGGCTTCTCCCAGGAAGCTTCCAGGTCCAGTTACCAGCAGGGTGGCCAAAGCTCTTCCCCCCTGATGGAACCATCTGCTCCTTCCCTGCCTCTGCTGGGCTGAGAGAGACAGACACCTGAAATCCAACACCATGAATACCTGCTGTGGCTTGGGCCAGATTTAAACCCTTTCACTGCCCAGATGAGACCTGCAGATTTAATCCCTTTCCAGAGAGAGGAAAGTGAGAGTGATCAACATGTAAAGAGACATCGTTAACTATCGAAGTCAGTAAAAGAAGGGGTCACACCTCAAATGGAAGGAGAATGAGGAGGTGCTTTAATAAGCTGAAATATTCTTTAGGTAAGGCTATGGAGATGGACAATAATGTTCTGAAAAACTCCTTTAATTCATGGAAGAGTATTTGGGGGGGAATGAAATATTTCAAAGTGTAGATCTGAGCAAAGGTATCCATTGATGAAGCTGAGCAGATGGTGAAGTAATTGTGATCTCGTGAGATGCCTCTGTTCCCAGAGATGATCACAGAGACAGATGAAGAGAACCTTTGCCTTTGAATAACTCATCCTTAAAATGACACCCCTTGAGTTCATGGGCCATGAACACACCTCAGAGTGGTGTGAAATGGGAGGAGGGTATGATGGCAGAGATTTTTCAAAAAAAACAGCAAAACAAACTGCCATCAGAGGAATAAAAAGCCATGAGAAAACTTTTCTTGTGGAGAACTCTCCATGGAATGATAAGAGAGAACTCCTTTCTCTGCACAGACTGGTGTAAAGACTGTTGTATAGCTGGGACTGCTTTAACCACCAGTTTTGTCTCTGTGTTGTCAGCTGGGCAAGGGAAAGCATGGGGTGGGGAGAAAAAGTTTCTGAAGGTTTTATTCTGGTTTCTTATTCTTGTAGTTCTGTTAATAAACTTTCTTCATTCCTTTTAAGTTTTAAACCTGTTTGGCCCTTCTCCTAATCTCACAGCAAGAAATGAGTATGTTTTCTGGTGATTTTTAGCTAGTGCTTTAAAACCCCCACATTATTTGGTGTGTTGGTGAGGAAACTAAATTGGCAAATTTAAACTACTACAGTCTCCTAAATGGAAACAGAAAAACAAGAATACCTGCTTTTTTTTCAGACAAGAAAGCAGAGATCGACAGCCTGGCAGCAGCATACATCGAGTCTGTGAAGAACATGCTGCCTGAGGAGAGAGTGGAGCACCTGAGGAAGATCCAGAGTGCCTACAGCAAGTGTAAAGAGTACAGTGATGACAAAGTGCAGCTGGCCATGCAGACCTATGAGATGGTGAGCCATGAGCCGTGGAAGAACAGGCATCATCTGGAATGGTGCATGTGGAGATGCTTCACAGTGTCAGCTTTCCCTGACTTTTTTTTTTTTTTTGGCTTAAATTTCTTATCAAAACAAATTATTAGTCCTCAAGCTTCTGTTTCTCACTGTTGCCTCCCCAAAAAGTTTTCTCCTTAGGTACCAGGTTTCCATTTTGCCGAAAAATTAGTGAGTTTATCCCCCTTGGGGGTGGCTTTATCAGTAGTAACTTGTTTGCTGTGTGATAATTTGTGCCAGCAAATTTACCTCACTGCCTCCTCCCCAGCAGCTCTCTGACACTGATAATTTCTTTGGGGCACACTTAGTTGAAAGCAAATTTTTTTTTAAACCAGCTGCTGTACTATGTTGTGGAGGAACAGCAGGAATCCTTTTATTTGCCTTTTATTTGACATCAAAATTTTCTCAATGGACCTTGGGAGAAAATCCTGTTTCTTAAGATGCAGCTTTCCACTTTTTTTTTTCCTGTCCCTGTCCCTTGAATAATTCTATTTTTCTTGTGTTTTACCCCCTGGATGAAAGTTGAGTAAGGGGAATCCTTTTGACTGTACTAAGTGTTTGTTGTCCAGCTTGCAGAGATGCTTTGGGTTTTGCTATAGCTGCAGTAGATGTTTGATTGCCATCAAACACTGTAAAAAAGGAAATTATGTGCCAGGAATATTGATGCCCTAGATAACTAGTGAACCCATTTAATGACAAAGTATTGCAGCAGCACAGCTGGGGGATGGTGGCTTAAAATCCCTGTTCTGAAAATCACTTCATTGCAGCCAGGGTAGTACAGGGTACTTAGTTAATGTGTGACTTGATATTGAGGATAGTCAGCCTCTGTATTTATTGTTAAAATTATTTCATGCACATGACATTGGAGTACCAGGGGAAGAACCCTAACTGCTCTACTCAACACATCTCAAGGACTATCTTCGAATTTTGGAAATTTCAGGGATGAAACAGTTATTTTTAGTATCTAATCTTGTTTTGTTCTGAAACTCATTAGTCTGAGTTGCTTTGACTCTCCTTTATGTTGCCTCCCTTTTCCTTCCTTTCTGCATTCTTATGGAGGGACTGGGTTCTTGTGCTTTTGCCTCCCTCGTTCCCTTTGTGTGTGCCATTTCCCTTTTCCCAGCCTGTACCCCTTCCCTGCCTTGCTCTGCAGTACCACACTGTTCATGCTGATAACAGACAAGTTTTAGCCCTTCCTGTTTTCATTTGGGGCTCTTTTTTTGTGTGTTTCTTTCTAATTCAGTTTGTGGTTTCCTCTTGGTGCAGGTGGATAAGCACATCCGCCGGCTGGATGCAGACTTGGCACGGTTTGAAGCTGATCTCAAAGATAAACTGGAAGGCAGCAACTTTGAAACCCCTGGATCCCGAAGCCTGAAAAGTGGGTTAATTTCACACAGTTGAGAGCCTTTTCCAGCACTTAGAATATCAAACCAGGAGGGCTGAGATGTAAAATAGGCTGTTGTTTCTGGAGGAAGGAAAGAAGTGTGCCATTCTCTGTTTTTAGTGCTCTTCAAAATGTTTACCATGGGCAAAAGATGAAGAAAAATGTGGTGCTGGGATCAAACTTAGTGTCACTGTTTCACAGATCATCCTGAGGTTGTTAGTGGTTCTAAGGAGGGTGCTGTGCCAAAACTGCACTGGTGTAACAGTCTAAGTTTCAGGAAAAACTAGGAATTAAAAGAAGATAACCAGTTTCTCTTGTGTGTACTGAAATACTGTGTGATCACAGTGACATTTGAATGTGGATACAGCAGCACAGCACAGCTTTATGCCTTTGAACAATGAAATAAGGTGTAAGAGCAAGGAGATGGAGATGAAAGTTATGTTAGTTATTGAGTAATCTATTAACTGTGTTTAAAAATAGACTGAGATTTAAAAAAAAAAATACTGCAAGCCTAATCAAGTGTAATGCTGTTTATGACCTGTGCTATTGCCAAAGCTGCAAACACGAGAGTTTGGTGCTCAGTTGTTATCAATTTGGTGTATCTGTGACTTAAAAATGCATTTCAGCCAGCATATTCAATTACATATATAATAAGGATTATTCAATTACATTTGAAATAGGGATTTCAGGACAGTAGCTGCATCAAAAGAACAGCAGCTGGGGAATTTTCTGCCACTCAGGCTGAAATGATGGGGTTGTTTTTCCTTTCTAGAGGGACGAAGTCAGAAAGACAAAAGGAGCTCTCGTGGTCGAGGCAGGAGAACATCTGAAGAAGATACACCAAAGAAAAAGAAGCTCAAAGGAGGGTAAGGCAGAGCCAGGCACAGCTCCAGGGCCTTGGGCTTGACTCTTCACGAATTTTCCACAGGCTCATATTACCCTATTTATGACTCATGTCCGGATGGCGAGCGGTGTTAAGAGTGTTCTGGTCTTACTCCATTTCATTAATGTCCTGCTTAGGACAGGCCAGCATTGTTAATTAACTCCTTGGTTGGCATGTGGAAGCTCAGCATGCTTGGAACACTCTGACTGGAAGGACAAGATCAGCCTCCCTGTTGCTGTTGGCAATCTGGGAGAAAATAGCTTTGATTTTTCTCAAAGGGCTATTTTTAACAGTTGCTTGTGGTCTTGATGGTAAAAGAAACTCACTTGCCCATCAGGACAGAAACTGATGTGCTGCTGTTCTAGAAGTCTTTGAGAATTTTGGGGGTTGTTTTCAAAGGGTTGTATCCTAGATAGCCTTGAATAATCTGATTTGGTTTTGAGAGGGAAGGAGGAAAGCATGTCCCCTCCCTGAGATGGGATTTATATTAAAGGGGCTCAGTTTATTCTGATATTTTCAGTTGGCTAAATGGAGGGACAGGTAACTAAAAGTGGACTGCTATGGACTGATATTGGCATGTCAGCACATCCCTGTCAGGGTAAGAGGGTTCACTCATGCCTGACAATGAGAAAAAATGTATATTGAAACAGGTTGGGGAAAAACCCCAAACAGGATATTCTACCCTCCAGGGTTATTCTACCCACAATCAGGAGTGATCTGTATGATCATTTTGTTGCTTTATTCATGACATCTATAAATCCCTTTATTGATTATTTTTGGTCATACTGTGTTTGATCCAAACTACCTTATGATTTTAATTACTGGACTGTGGCAGTGTAACACAAACTCTAAAACAGGGTCAGTGTGGTTTAGGGAAGATACTGTAAAACACTGATTTTCCCAAGTAGATTTAGATCTTAGAAACACCAAATCCCAGAATGGTTTGGGTTTGGAGCCACATTAAAGACCATCCCATTCCAGCCCCTGCAGTAGGCAGGGACACCTTCCACTAGCCTGGGTTGTTCCAAGACTGGCCATAAACCCTTCAGGGTGGGGGAGCCACAGCTTTTCCAGGCAACCTGTGCCAGGGCCTTCCTACCCTCACAGGGAAGAATTCCTTCCCAGTATCCCATCTAACCCTGCCCTCAGGCAGTGGGAAGCCATGCCCCTTTAAGACAATGTTGTCTGCAGCTGACAAGTGTTTTGTCCTGACTCTGTCCTTGCCCACAGGTCTGAGTTTGCTGATACCATCCTGTCAGTGCATCCCTCAGATGTCCTGGATATGCCAGTGGATCCCAATGAGCCCACCTACTGCCTGTGTCACCAGGTGTCCTATGGGGAGATGATTGGCTGTGACAACCCAGATGTAAGCACTTGAGATATTGATTTTTCAGATGTTTGTTGCCTCCCAACCCTGTACAATCCAAGGAGGGGGTCCTTGCTCAGTTAGCTCATACCAAATGATGGGAACATTTGTGAACCACTAAGAATCTCCTCTGTGTGTTTTTCCTTTCTCTTTTGCAGTGTCCAATTGAGTGGTTCCACTTTGCATGTGTGGACCTGACCACCAAACCAAAAGGGAAATGGTGAGTGTGGCAACATTCAGTTTTGTGATTTTTATCAGGCTGCAGTTTGCCTCAACAAGAATTAAAACCCTCTTGTGACCCTGACAGAGGAGGTTTGCTCTTCTCATCAGAGAGTTTGCATCCTCTCTGATTGGGGGTTATGTTTTAGGGTAGAAGATACAAGACAAACCTTCTTGTTAAAATCCACTTCCACAGAAGTCTTAGGTGGGAGCAGAACTGCAGAACTGATAAACAGAGCAGGTTTTGACCTGAGGCTTGTGTAAACATGGACATGCTACATCTGAGGTTTGCTCTATTGTCAGTAGTTGTAGCTGTGCTTAAAACAGAGACAGGTACCTCTGTGCTTCACTTCTGGAGGCAAATTTTGAAGACTTCTCAGGGTTTTACTATGTGCTTATCTTGGAAAGGATCTTGGGCTTGTTATTTTTATCTAATGGACTATTTTAATCAAATTAACAAATGACCTGTCAGAAACAGGCTTATTTGTGCACAGATATTAAAAGCAGTTCTCAGGCTCTGTCCTGTTAATTTCAGGGGCTAATTACTGCCTCTCTTTTCCTACAGGTTTTGTCCTCGTTGTGTTCAGGAAAGAAAGAAAAAGAAGTAAGGAGTAGAGAGGGATACACTGCCTAGGCAAGAAGAATTTAATATATTCCTTCATTCATGTTGCAATATTACCTTTGATTATTTTTTGTTAATCTATCCTTCATCTTTTTCCAGTATGATATTTAATTATCCAGTGGCCAGTTGAAATTCCTGTTCTTTCCTAAGACTTTGGGAGGGAGTCCAAAATCCCTTTGCCACGGAGATTCTATTGATGTTAGTCTTGCACAATGATACTGAGGGAGGGTGTTGCCTTTTCTGGCTGTTTCCATTTCCCTGCAGATTCTTTTAAGTACATCACTGTGAAGATGAAACCTACAGTATTCTTGGAGAGAGAGAGAGAGAGAGAAGGTCAGATTTATTCACAAAATAAGATGAAGGCCTGAATTGTTAGCTGTGATTGCCTGTGTGGCACATGGGTAAATCAGGAAATCGGGTTTTAGGGAAATGCACCATGAAGACACTGTTTGTTCCCATGATGGTGTGGCTCTGCTGTTGAAGAAGGCCATTCAGAAATGTTGTAACGTAACTTCTTGTCTTTTTTTTAATGGGCCACAAATTCCTGACTTCTCTAGCTGCCTTTCAGATGATGAATGTGAATCCTTGCATTAGCACAGTGTCAGTGGCTGCAGCAGAAGGGAGAGAGGAAATCAGGAGCTGGAAAGCAAAAGTCTGTTTTTTCCTTCTGGAGAGATAACAGTGGATGCAGAAGTTGAGGGAAGAGCAAAGTCTTGCCTTTGTATCTGTCTTCTGCATCATGATGCTTACCTGCCTTCAAGGAAAGATGTAGTGGGGAAAGGTGTTCCAGGTTTCCATCCTGCTGGTGAAAGAAGGAAAAAAAAGCCCCAATCTCATGAACTTTGCTGGCTCTGGTCCCTAGTGGGTGTTGGTGGCAGCTCTGTGCAGGGCTGTGTGCTGCTTTCCAATACAGTATGCAGGAGCTCTTGGTACAGACTGCTAGAAAGGCATAAAGAAACTCCCACATAAACTTTTCTTCTGCTGAATAAACAGCACAGAAGATGAAAAACACTTCTACTCAGATTCTGGCACCTGCTTTCAAAAGAAAAACGGCTTTTCCTGTTACACCGAGCCTCTTACTCATGTTTTGTAATGAAGGAAAGTAGAACACAGCTCCTGCCACCTCTCCTTCCCTTTGTGGGGCTTTGTGCCTGCTGCTGACATAGAAGAAACCTCTCAGTTGTGATGCAGCTTTTCTGTGAACATTGATTTATGGCAGGGAAAAAGGATGGATTTTAGGAAAAAATCCCTGTCTTCAGAGTCCTGTAATTTCCAGTGTGATGTTGCAGGTGTCTTTACTACATTGCATCCCTGGGAGCTGAAGTTCCCATAGTTCTGTGCATGAAAATGCACATTTGTCATTGCTGCCACAGAATGGCACATGGACAGCAGGCAGGGATATTAAAGCCAGAGTGCTGGATGGAAGGAGGAGGAACAGCACACAAACCTGGAGTAGAGCAAACCCTCTTCTCTTCTTCTTCCTGCCTCTTCATGAGAGCAAATTTGTGATACCTCATGAGCCAGCCTGTCATCCAGTCCCCAGAGGGTGAGAGCTGCTCCTCCTTCACCCACTGCACTGGTCTGAGCTGGAGCATTGCTGTGTCCTGACAACCCATGTTGATGCTGTTCCAGGTTTTGTTTTCCCCTTCCACCCAATGGTATTGTAGACAGCTTTTCTTCCTGTTGTTCCTAAGGCTTTGTTGGTACTGGTATTACCATGTATTAAGCATTTGATTTGAAACAATCTCAAATTTCCACTCTGGTGATCGTGCTGGAAACATGCCTTGAGGGAAGAGAGCAGCTCTGGGTGAGCCAGTGTGGAGCTGACTTCCCTCAGCTCCAAAATTCTGGTTAGGCAGGATAACAAAACACACTTTTAGAAGTACTTTTGGGGCTTCGAAGAGTGTTTTCCACTTGAACCAGCAAAGCAAAAAGGAAAACAAGCTCTGGAAGGTCCTCAAAAGGAAGGATAATTTGCTAGGAATGACGAATAGTGTAGGGTACAACAGTCTCCTCTTCTTTACAACATCTGTCATGTGTACAGCATCTGAGATCTGATACCAGCAATAAACTCTCCCACTGGGAACATGCCAGTTCAGGGCTTGGATGGGCTCAGGAGCATCTCCTGCCCTCTTACACCTGGTCATAGAGACTTTTTACAAATGTGTAGACAGAAATACCAGCAGCCTTCATTTTTGCATACTAAAGGATTTAAATCTTCTGACTTTTGAATGTACAGTGTTAAATGTTTCCTGGAGAGGGGTGATCCCTTAAGGAATGCCCTACTAAACATTGCCCAAAAGCCCTGCCAGGGGCCCAGCTTTACTGCAGCTCGTCCAAACTGGAGGTCGAAACCAACTTTCACCCTTTTACCGAAACAAGGGGGTGGGCGGGGGGGGGGAAGAAAAAACCACAAAAGTAAGGAATGTAAAGTTTAAAAAAATATATAAGAAATGTATATCTGTATTTTTGGATCTTGGAGATGTTGGATTATATTATAAATAAAGTATTTTTGGGAATAAATGTGTGAGGATGATGGGGGGGTGGGGGTGTTGTTGCAGCCTCCGGCCGCCAGGGGGCGCTGGCGCTTTGGGGTGAGGCGCGTCCCCGGCGCTTCCAGGCCCCGGAGCGTCCTTGGCATCTCCCGTTTTTTACCCGGATATTTTTATCCGAATTCGGATAATCCCGAATTCCCCGCGGTCACCCACGCTGCGAAGGGCTCCTGGTGCCGCGGTGGGAGCAGCGGTTCGCCTCCCCTCAGTGCTGAGCTCTCGCCACGCTCGCGGGAAGGGGGGAGCAGAGAAGGCCGCGGTTTTTCCCATGGCTTCTACGGTGCTGCGGCGCCGCGGGCCCGCCTGCCTGAGGAGCTGGAGCCGGGAGCCCCCGGGAGTGCCCCGGGCCCGGGGCTCCGCCGGCTGCCGGGAGGTGGTGCCGACCTGTGAG